AGACTCGCGCCGAGCGCAGTTGCAGTAAACACTGTCGACGGTATTGTAGATTAATGGCGCAGATCTAGCACGGTCCATTCTGTGGCCATAGTGACTTTGGACTAACTTAGCTGCATATATCCCTGTTAACGCCATGTACGGTGTACATCGGTCTTTTTTCCGGGCGTCTTTACATGCTCTGACTTGGTAAGTGTGTAAGTGAACCTGTGTGTGTGGAATAGTGTATCGGTGTGGAAGTAGTGGTCACGGAAAGAAGCCCGTTACTGTCCAGGTGGACTGGTCGTGAACTCGACGTGCTAAGTATGTTTTGCATTGCAAGGAGTTGCCCCTCCATAACCGATAGCTCTGGCCTCGGCTGAGGCGGAATTGTGGAGATAATTCCGCTGAGCTATGGGAGCACTGGAGAAAGCGCTCATAGAGATTCACGCTGGAATCTAGACGGATATTATAAGTCGAGAGGACCGTTTACATACAGAATCATAGATGAATGGAAAATCTCTATTTACTTTATGTTATGCCAAACTGTAGACATCTTTTTCGTCACCCTCACCATCTCAAGGGTCCAACTCCGGGCGTAATGAGCAAAAAATCCACAGAATTCGAATGGTATATGAGCAAGACATGGCACATGAAATTCCCGAGTCGGTCGGAGCGTAGATACTTTTCGTCGTCTAGACACTGATGGTCTTGAAAACACTATAAATGAGTTAGTATTGTTTGAAGGACATTGTGTCAGTTGCACATACCTGAATCCATTGCTACCGGTCGCCATAAGCGTACCGGGCATCTGTGCCTGCCAGTGGACCTCCTTGACAGATTCCATATAATGCACGAACAGAAGCTGCGAAGGAATGTCAGCCATGTTGGCTGCGCGGCTCTCCTCGTCGTCTAGCTCGACAGCCAGATCCCAAAGGGTGACAGTGTTGTCGGCCGAGCCGACGGCCACCACACTGTCGTCTGAGGGGTGCCATTCGATACTGGTGATAGGCTCCTTGTGGAAATCGAATGAAGCAACGGGGGTGGAGGTAATCTGGGCAGAGGGCGCCGCGGCATTGGGCTTCCAGTGACGCAAGTCCCAAACGGCCCACTGTCCATCATCAGCACCGGTTGCCAACAGGTGAGCGGTCTGGTTAGACCAGGTCATGACGTTGACATCGGTGTTGGAAACCTGAACGTCCACAGCGGGCTTACGCGACTTGGATCGCACATCCCAAACCTTGACACTGCCGTCGCTGCTGGCAGATGCGAAAACGTTGCGTTCGTTCGGAGACCACTGCAATTCTTCAATTGAGGAAGCGTGGCCGGTGAATGGGCGGGTGTCGGTGACCCAGCCGCCGCCCTCGGTGCGGGTAGTGGCGTAGATCAATCCGTCGTTGTCACCGGTCAACAGCTTTCCGAGAGGCTGGAGAGGGGACCAGTCAAGCGCATAACCCTCGGACTTGTGCATGCGCAGGGTGGAGAGAGGCTTGGAAGCCGAAGGAGGAAGGACAGTACCGGGGACATCGAAGCTGGAAAGGTGGGCGGTAACGTCGTGGATAACCACCTGGGAGTTCTCCAGCATGGTCGCGGTCAAGGTCTGTGGGGGCTTGGAGTAGTCTCCGGACTGAGAGGGTGTCTGGTGGGTGCGAATGCGGTTTGTAGTTGAGCCCAAAGGAATCGACTTGTGCTCGAGGATAGGCTCTCCCATATCGTCGTCGTCCGAGTCGCTTTCTGAATCTTCACCCTCCTTCTCCATCCTGCTGAGGCCACTCATTTTGAGGACCATCAGCTCATTATCCTTCTGTTTGGTTCCCTCTGCTTGTGTACCGGTGACGGCGTAGACAGTGGCGGGGTACGTCTTGCGGTTGTCACCGAGTGTGTCACGGACAATGTCGAAGGAAAGACACGGCCAGGGCGTGCTGAGTGTGTGAAGCATGTCGTAGGTAGAAGGATCGGGGGATAGCGTCTCGCCAGGTGCCAGTTTTGTCCGTCCGGGAATAAAGGTTTCCTTGTCCACATCCATAGCCTCTATAAAACGTTGAAAAGTCAGTTAAGCCACACTCCTAAGGTATCTTAGAGAACATAAGGACATTGCGAACCCTTCTCTTCTTCCTCGCGCTCAGCATCTGGGCGACCATCGACTCCAGCCTCTAGGATCTCGTCCTCACTCTCGAACTCGTCCTCGAACTCGTCCTCGAACTCCCCCGCTTCGTCCATGGGGACCTCTGCAATTGGCCGCTCACCGGCCTTGAGAGCAGTCTGCTCATCGGCCTCAGCGCTTCTCTTAGACATCTTGAACCTGCAAAAACAACAGAGAAGAGAGAAGTGTAGAGTAGAGGGGTGTGCGATAAGAACTTTTTTTCCCGTGGATTTTGGCAAGAAAGGTGGCGCTAAACCTATCGCAGACTAGCGCCAGATCCCAGCTGCCCGCCTTGAGCTGAGGGTGTTTGGCACTGGACGACTTGGACATTAGATATTGGCCATTTGAGATTCGTTTCCGGTCTGATTGTTTGTTGGCCTCATTTCAGCCACCTTCCCTCCTTCTCTCGTGGCCCCTCGTCTTAATTCCGGATTGTTTACTCTCAGGGACAACTCCACCTCCCGACATCAACACATCCTTCTGCCTCAATTTTCTCGACATAATCCCTTGCACATACTGCTGCGTATGCAATTTTGCTAGATTGGGCTGGAATTTCAGCACTTTGGGTCGGTAAGTCGCCCTAGCTCCTAGGACTTCGTCTTACTCGTGCTGACAACCCGGGCGCGTCCAACAGGTTACACCTCTCAAGTCGACTCTGATACAGATCGTAAGCGCCAATATGGAGTTCCCTCAGCAGCACAGCTCGGAGGCTCCTGTTGCTCCGGAGGTCGCCCTTGCGGACCCCGAGCACATTGCCCCCGAGGATCAAACACCACTGGCTCAGGAGCAAATCCAGGAACCAGCCCAGGAACAAGAGGCCTCATCCGAGCAACCTCTGGAACAGCACGCACCCGTCAGCGTCAACATTGAAGAACCCGCCTCTGATCACACTGCTCGGGCCGCTATCAACAATGGCTACAACAGCGACTCTAAGGCTCACTACCACTCCCGATCCGCGGACTTCCATCACTCCGCCCCCGAATATGCCGCTCAGGATACGGATCAGTCCACTCGTCAAAATTCATCCCCCTCTCTTAGCCACCAACTCCCTGTGCCAAACTCCAGACCTGGTTCTGGATTCTCCAGTGGTACCGAGCGCCCTGGTGTTTCCCAGCCGCAACAGCAAGAAGTCCAGCGACAGGGACAAGGCTCGCAGGCTTCGAAGAATAGTGTGGTGATTAAGGTTGGCATGGTGGGTGATGCCCAGATTGGAAAGACCAGTTTGATGGTTAAATATGTTGAGGGAAGCTGGGATGAAGATTACATCCAGACATTGGGTATGTTGAATTACGTTCGGTCAAGCCTCACCCTTCTAACGGTCATCCAGGTGTCAACTTTATGGAAAAGACCATCTCCATTCGAAACACAGAAATTACCTTTTCGATTTGGGATCTTGGTGGCCAGCGTGAGTTTGTTAATATGCTGCCGCTGGTCTGCAATGATGCCGTTGCGATTCTGTTCATGTTCGACCTCACTCGCAAGAGCACCTTGAACTCAATCAAGGAATGGTATCGCCAAGGACGTGGATTTAATAAGACTGCCATCCCATTCCTGGTTGGCACCAAATACGATCACTTTGTTAATTTCCCTCGCGAGGATCAAGAGGAGATCTCGATTCAGGTATGTGGCCTCCCTGTCCCGGAATTTGCAGAATCTAACACATACTCAGGCCAAACGCTTTGCGAAGGCCATGAAGGCCAGTCTCATCTTTAGCAGCACCAGCCACAGTATCAACGTACAAAAGGTATGTGCCAAGAACATGCGGCTCAAACCACTCGCTTGATAGGGCACATTTGCTAATTCCTCGCAGATCTTCAAAATCGTTCTGGCCAAAGCATTCGACCTGAAGTGCACCATTCCAGAGATCGAGAACGTTGGCGAGCCTTTACTTCTGTACAAGAACGTCTAAGCACTGTCCGCCTAACGATTATGTACATTGTGACGCTGTTGATGATCGACGCTGGCCCTCTAACCTCACGGCTCTACCACTTTGTGAATCTTTCTTTCTCTTCTTCAACGATGTACTTGACCTTTTTTTATGTGCTCATCACTGCCTCGATTTGTGGGCAGATCCATACTATCAGTCAACAACCTCGAGGTTCACTTGATGACCGTTGCTTCTACCCCTGTTTTCCTTGTCTTTTTCTTCGGTGCATCTTTTACCATGCATCGCTACAAGTACCTAGTTTTCTTTTGTTCTATGATCCCATCTGGGAGGCTTCACCGCCTTGAGGCGTTTGGGAGTCCGAGTCATGGGCGATGTTCTGGAAATACAACTCAAACTTCATTGTGAATTCTTAGCAATATGTCTCCCTGATCCTGTCTTTCCTCGTGAAACTCGTATGATTTTCTAGTTACACATTGTCGAATGTTTACACTGCACTTTGTTAGATAGGCACTAGCTATCTGATCTTATTAGCTTGTACTTCTGTTGGCCTGCATACCTGTATAGTTCTCCAGGTTATGGGAGAACAGGTATCTCAAACCAGCCAAGGAGTACATTCTCAGCCATTGCCACAACTAGGATAATTAAGATAATACTCAAATTTCGGACAACATCCGTTTGACGGGAAGTAAAGAGAGGCGTAACTCATAGATATCGACCCACGGTACATGAAACGGGGTCTGGCCCCCAATTGGGGAACCCCTCTTGGAGCCTCATCTTTTATCCTTTCTCTTTATTCAGACCTCGACTGTCTCTGGGGGTTTGGTCTCCCTTATTATACACGATACCCTCACGTCTGTGACTCTGTGCTGTTTTCAAGCACAAGGCTGTTTTCGCCCCCGCCAAGCCAGCTGGTGCTTAGACTACACTTGCGACAAGTGTCTATTTTGAAAACACGACCTCACTTTGCCCTCGATATAGCCTCTTACCGGCGCCATGACCGAGGAGCCGCAACTAAATTCTATTCAGCAGCGGATCGCCGCCCTGAACCAGTCGCAGCTGGCCCGCCCACCGGGCCCTGAACCATTCCTCCGCCCGACCCCGGAGCGGAGCATGCCAGTCAGCCCCCCTCCTTCATACGATTCTGTCGTTCCTCCACCGGATCGAGTGCCCAGCAGAAATGGACAGACAGACGATCACTCTGAGAGGCCGGTTCTGCGACCGCCTCCAATGGAAACCCTACGACCTGATCTGAAACCGAAGCCAAAAGCCCCTCCGCCCTTGCCCACGCGGAGATCAGATCGCCAGGCTCCTCCCCCTCCAGCTCGTCCTGCGCTGCCACCGCGCAGACCAACAGATCAACCGCGGAGACCCTCCCTTGAGTCGACAACCTCCGATGCATCGTACTCGACAACTTCGACGGCAACAACCGCTGGACGCAATGCATCTTCGACGTCAGTGAACTCCAATGGAAACAATCGCATCAAGGCGCCTGCATGGGGCGCCACAGAGCTACCTGCGCTACCCCCAAAGCGACCAAAGGAACAAGTCAACCTTGAACCGGCTCCGCGGCCTACGCCTAAGAGGAGTTTCGGAAACTTGTCCTCCAGAATCACCTCGAAAATCCACTTACCGGGCTCCAAGCCGGCTGCTCCCTCTCCTCCAAGTCAGCCGCCTCGACCAAGCGTACCCTCACGTCCAAGTTTGCCAAGTCGCAGGGAGACCAACGATGATGCCCCGACACCTCAGCTGCCACCTCGTCCGCCATCTGGAGTACAATCCCAAACGAATGGAACCACCGAAGATGAGGGCCCTCCTTTACCGATTCGGAGGACATTACCACCTCCACCATCTGCTGCGAAAATTAGTGATTCCCGGCAGTTTGGTTTTGGAAATAAGAGCCCAAGCATTCCAGTCCGGCCAAGTAGCACACCGGCTGGTACCCCACCGCCAATCCCACATGGTTCTCGCCCGGATCTGTCCAAGATCATGGCTACAAAGCCACGCTTCAATGGCTCGCCTGCTTCTGCGAGCCTTTCAGTTCCCTCGTCGGATACGGAGTGCTTAGTGTGTCGAGACTTCTCAGGCCCAGATAACCATGCGGCCCGCTATCCTCGTGCATCGCTTCCAACACAAGACATGGCATGGCTGGCAAATGAGCTGACAGCGCCATTCCCTTCTTTGACAGACAAGGCCCGCGCGATCTTTACATGGCTGCATCACAACATCTTCTACGATGTCGTTGCCTTTTTTGGCAATTGCGTTCAGCCCTCCACACCAGCCAGTACCCTTGCAACCGGACTAGCAGTCTGTGAAGGATACGCAGGATTATTCCTCGAACTGGCAACCAAGGGTGGACTAGAAGCAATCAAGGTCGGAGGCCACGGCAAGGGATTCTCGCACAACACACTCGCCCCAGGCTCACACGTACCCCCCTTCAACGGAAACCACGCCTGGAACGCCGTCAAAATAGACGGAGGCCGCTGGAAACTCATCGACTCATGCTGGGGCGCCGGATGCATAGAAGGCAAAGGCCAGCCCTACAAGCAGCGCTTCGAACCAGCCATGTTCTCAATCCCGAACGAAGAATTTGGTCTGAAGCACTTCCCCTCGAACGCCAACCACTTCTTCCGCGAAGACGGCCGACCAAATCCCACCTGGGAAGAATACATCCTCGCCGATCCCGAAAAGCCACACGGCGTCGAAACCCTCAAGGTCTATAGCGACGCCGATAAACGCTCCATCGGCCGCAAAACAATCCAACCGGCAGCCCTCCACATCTCTATCAGCACACCTGGTCCAATGCGCTTCCAATTCGGTCTCCTCTGTCCGCACTGGACACTGGCACGCCACAGCCACGCCTCGCCAGATCTGTTCCTGCTCATGATCCATGGTGTCGATGGACGCAAAGACGACAGACTTCCCTTTAGACATGTACCCGGCTCGGGTCCCGCTGGTGGGGGCGAGATGTGGTATGTAGATGTGCCTGAAGCACGTATGCTTGGTGCTCCTGGTCAGAAGTTGCAGTTGGCTGTTTTGACTAGCTTTGATAATAAGGATGCCGCTGGTGTTACAGCTGATGAGTTCTTGGCTAAGAATGGTCGGGTTGGGATGGCTTGGGCTTATGTTGCGGAGTGGGAGCTTGTTCGGTAGAGCCTTGGCTTCCATTTAGTTTTGATTTGGTGTCCTTTACATTCCTGTGGATGGCTATTTTAATAGTTAATATAGCGGGGGTTTCTCTCGTCTGTTGCATTTTGCAGATGTGCATATCTTTTCTATGTTTTGATAATGGATATATTATTTGGGAACGAGTTATTGGCGGCACTACAACGTATTTGGAACGCAATCAGAAGTACATAAGGCAAAATCGGCCATGTATTATAACTGGAAGGCCAATGGATCTTTTCCATTTCAATATACGCCACTCATGTACAAATTCTCAGACAATCTCTGTTGCCGAACACAACATTTGTGCCCCAAATCCGCTAGTTTCGTCCTGCTCTGATCAATCCTCTATATCGGGGTTAATCCCATGTTCTAAACAAATATCGATAATGGGTTGATACCCAGAGTTGATGCCCCTCCAAGCGACGGATATTCCACGATAATCCGCATCTAGACTTGCCCCATTATCCATCAGCAATCGAAATTCAGCAGCTTTCTTATGTTGTATTGCTGTGAGTAATGCCAGGCTTTGTTCGTCTGCATCTGCACCGTACTGTATTAGCAGCTTAATGAGGCTAAAGCTGTCATCCCTTGCAATAGCCAGCTTGAGTGGTGCCTGTGGTCGTGCTGGTCTTCCTGGTTGATAATCCATGGATCGAGAAGCCTCCTTATTCGGGTCGGCCCCGACTTCTAATAGAAGTTTGGCTGTGCTTAATGGAGATGGGGCATATTCGAGCGCGCCACATAGAGGGGAGTGACTCTCTATGGGTAGTTGAAAGTTGACAGCAGCGCCTTGGGAGAGAAGGTACCGTATGCGATCGTCATCGCTGCGTTCTGCGGCGTATTTCAGCATCCAGTAGAGGTCCAAGTCAGGGCTTGTTTTGCCGTACGGATATTGACGTAGTTTCTCAAAGAGGTAATCTTCAATACCATGATGGCCCTTTGATGCCGCCTGAGCAAGTGGGTATTGACCCATAGTGTCGTGTGACAGTTGTTTTGCGCCTTGATCAATGAGTGCGCGAGCCAGATCAAAATGACCTTCACGTGCTGCGAGGGCAAGAGGGTTTAAGCCATCAGCGTCTCGATAATTGATATCCACACCTAGATTAAGGAGATGCTCCACGATATTGAGATGTCCTTGCGCGGCTGCGTAGGATATTGGATGCTCCTTCATATTTTCTTTCCAGATAAGGCGTCTTAGGCGTGTTCCAGGCTTTTGTACGGAGCAGGCGAAGTATGGAGACTCCCATTGGATGTTTGCCCCGGCATCGAGAAGACGCTGAAGGGTCCTATCAGATCCGGAAGAGGCTGCCCAGTACAGCGCAGATGCACCGTGATGCTGTACATTCAGTTGGTACAGGGAGTTGTTGAGTGTTGTGTAGAGATAAGAGTGGCATTGAAGGAGCCCATTAAGATCACGACATTCTAAAACTTCTGCGATGCTTATGAGGAGCTCGGGGGGTAGTTTGAAGATGGGCATTTTAGTGGAAAAGGAGAGAAAGCGATAGAAAAAACCATGTCACAATGTGACTCAATGATCTAAGGAGATACTATTTCGACCCTACTACCTGAGCCATTTCCCCTGTATTTTATTTCCTCGGTGTCACTGTACGTCCCAATATCGTGGCTGATGATCGCTCCCCACTAATGAGCTCGGAAAACCCCATTACAATACCTGACAATACCTTACTGCTTCCTGAGCGTGAACAAACCTTCAACCTGAGTGCTGACTGAGTATACCCTGAGTGTTCTAAATGAGTGAAATCAGGCTGGTCAGACAGCTAGCGGCTCGCTGGGATATCAGATGATGCTGGCACAACAGCTATGTGATCTAAACGCCAAGACTCGGGCAATGTTATTGGGACCTCAGACCTCATCTCTCAATCATTTTAAATAAAACAGGCAATACCAGGTCTACGGGTGCTAAGGCTGAGGATAAGGGTTGTAGAGAAGTGTATGGCCGCCTAGAGAATACTATCCGTTCGATGCAGTGAGATGGGCATGAAAATCTAAGATCTATATGTACCAAGCTAACTTCTATGCTTCATGTTGATGTCTTTTTATAATATAACTCGATTTTCAACCTATCACAGTATCAGTTCTACATTTACATACTGTCGGAGCCCACAAATACGCTGAGTCTACCAAACGAGCAGAAATCGAGATCCCACTATGGCAGCACGGTTTGAATGACCTTTCAACAATGTTATTAATAATTTAGCAGGTATATTAAATGAAGAAGAAATGACTACTTATATTTCTCGACACTGGACAACCGGACTAAATCCATACTATATATCATGAGTCACGTGCGCCGAATAGATCTATACCGGCGTATCAGTCTATTAGTGAGTGTTGTCAATTTATAATCAAGCTTGAATTTGAATCTCCAGTTCGTTCAACGAGTGTAAACACCTCGAACTTTTGGTATCAAGCGAGCATCTTGGAGTCCTTTACCTTCGTCTCAACGGTACCGTGGAATGACTTCCTATCGAGGTCCTCAGGGATTACAATGAGTGGGCCTACTTCGGCACCGATATAACTACCCAGACTGGCATTGTCGAAGCTGGACTGGAGGGCCAGTACCGGGGATGACTGTGAGAATCTCAAGGTTTCAGGAACATCGGTTCCACTTGCAATATGAGCATTTCTACCTCCTATCATACAACCTTTCAAAATGGACCGGCTTCCCAGGCTCTTTTCCTGTTTTGTTTTGCACACATATATGTTGAATATCTCGCTGCAGTACTGCTATCAGAAACCTTTTACCTCGTCAATTGATGTGGAAACTCCAATGGAGATTGTCTGCACAGCTAGATCTACATAATGAAGCATGGTAGATGAGTTAAATAGCCCCGAAACATTGATTACAATGCTTTATGGAATTGATTTGTCTATTAAACTGATCGATTCGTGTTTGTCCATTGCTATAGATGTTATCATCACGTGTTGTCGTGTCAAAGGACGCGTTGCGATAAGCACACTTTCTCTCCTCAAAGACCAGCGCGGAATCCTGATGAGCTGGGATCGAGTAATTCAAGATTCCGACGAGGAAGAACCCCTTGAAGGAGATGAGCTTGAGGATCTCCCCTCGTCTGTCGATCCCCTCCAAGCATCCGAGCCCGCTGTGCAGCAACAAAACGGCGATATCCCCGCCAAACATACAGTCCACAATGCAGTAACTGAGGCTCCTTCTGCCCCGGACGAGAGTATGTTTCCACAATTCAATGTCAATTTTGATGAGTTCCTTCAGTCGCAGGATCGAAACCATGCGATGTTGTCATCGTCGCAGCAGCGGCGTAAGGAGAAATGGATTCCTTCGAACAGTGAGGGTGGGAGTGGATCAGTGGGTGGGTTTTGGTGGTATAATGCCATTGAAATGCATTATAGCTTTCTATTGGTTTAAAATGATGCTAACACGGGTATAATTCAGGTGGTATGATGGCCGAGATCGGTCTTGCGCAAAGAAGGCTGCTGGACGACGATCCGTCAAGTGCTGGCCAACAGCTACCTTCCACAGCCACCCAATTCTCAATGCAGTCTGCCTACGCACCGTTCCCAACTGGGTCTAGCTTTCATCCTGTCCCGGGTCAACTGGAAAGCGACAGCTTCGCCTATATCGAAGCGCCAAACGAAACGAATAGCAACGCGAATCAGTCATTGCTGTCCTCCAGACAGGGTATCTATGACATGACCCCGAATACTTCTTCTAACTCAATGGTCTCGCCACCAAAGAGTGTTGCCCACGATGTAGCCGACTTTCCTCGCTTCCAGGAACAGGAGAACCCAACTTCAAACTCAACCCACATAATTGCTCAGTCAAACGCTTACCAGCCCGACTTTTATTCACCCCATGATACCGAGCCAATGTCATCGGTTGTCTCAATGCGACTGAACGAACTGAGAAGTGACACCGCCGGGACCAGTCTCATATCCGCACAACACTCACAGACAAGCGCACCTGACGAGCTCTCTTTGCCAGCAGTACCTGTGCCCTTCGTAGCCCCAGTCCCGAAGAGAAAGCGAGGACGTCCCAAGAAAAAGTCGATTCCGGACAGCGACGAAGATGATGAACTGGCTTTTGACCGAGACCTCGAGTTCGGACAGCCTAGTCCAAATGGTGCGATTCATCCATCCGATAGTGACGAGACTACGGAACTCAACACCCCAGCCCCAGGCGGAGTCTCCATTGAGACTAACGAAGAAGATTTAGAACCAGTTGTCAAGCGCGGAAAATCGGAACCCAAGGAGCCCAAAAAGAAGAAGGCCAAGAAAGAGAAGACGGCACCGGCTCCCCAGCCAGATCCTGGCAATGACGACGAAGTAATATGGGTAGACTCGAAACCCATCGAGGCTGAGCTCATTCGCAATGAGACCAATCCTGAACCGACAGCCCTGGACTCCAACCCGCCAAAGAACCCCAAGACAGCTCAAACAACAGCCAAAGAAAACACCCCACAACCAGTCCAGAACAATGACCAACCAGGTCCCAGAAAGCGCGGACGCAAACGCAAGATGCCAGCCGAACAAACCCCAACCATTTCGCCAGCACCCGAACCAGTCGAATGGCAAACAAAAATCGAAACACCAGCCCCAAAAGTTTCTGTCGTGGTCGACAACAGCCCGAATTCTGTTCCAGCCAGCAACAGCAATGACAACCACACGCCCGAGATTCAGGATAAACACCAAGACCAAGACCCTCAAGCTCAAGCTCAAGCAACCCCCGAACCTCATGCCACCACAAAGGAAACACCCCAAACACCCTCCAAGCCGACTACCAAACCCGTCGAAACCCCCCAGAACCAGAACCAGAATGCTGACAAGGGTCCGAGTAAACACAGTCCCATCTCGGCGCGGAGTGCTGTACCCCTTCGCGTGGGATTGAGTAAGAGGGCGAGGATTGCGCCGTTGTTGAAGATGGTACGGAAGTAAGGGACTGGAAGATGTCCATTGGTGTTGAATGACCTTTTTCGTCTTGCTTTTTTCTGTGCTCTCTGTTTGATCAGGGTTAGCTGTTGACTATTCTTGAGAGTATCTCTTGTTTACTATTATTATACCCCTCGAGAGAATGCTCTCGGCGCGCTGCTTTTGTTTGTGTCATATTTCTTACTTCTTGTTTTTTGGTTATTGGGTTATAAATGATTCTTGCGGGTTGTATGTCTGTGTTCATGACTAGACGGCTTCATTTGTATGGAGTAGGTACTGGGTGCTACGTTGTGATGATTTGTGATGAGTTCTTTTCAGCTAGTCTGGATATCAAAGGAATTACACATATTTCTAAACACGGCGAGTGAACAATCTATAATAAGACTTCAGATTACTGTATTCAGATTAAGAAATCAAACAACTTGTATTAAACCTCGAAGCTAGAAGTTGGCCGGTCCTATTCCATGAATTCTGTCCTGTCTCTGCCCCGCCTGCTTGTTCTCTCAAAGAGTTAATGATGTGTGTAAGTATAACAGGTATAATGCTAGCGGCGACTCGGTCGAACAACACTTCCAATCTGACCCCAAAGTAAAGATGACCCATCACATCCACATGGCAACGATCAAGGCAAGGAACAAAGATATCGCAGCTGCGGTGCCAATTGTTCGTGAGTTAGAGTCTGCTTCGGATTTTTTCCCCTTGGTATGAACCGTTGGATCCCATGCATCGCCATTGGATGGGGCCTCGACTGCACAATACCCGGCATCCTTCTGACAGCCGGTGCCGCAATGAGTAGTAGTGTTTCCACAGGAATGGGTGCTCCCACAACAATAGCCAAAGCTAGACCCCATACAAGTATAGTTGGAACCACAGGAGCCGTCAAAAGATATGGGCTTGTTGGGATCAGCGGAGGCGGTCTTCTTGGGCTTCTGCTTGTGGGTGGGCATCCGGGTATCCTTTCGGTACCAGAGGGGGCGTGGGTCACGGAGACAGTCACCGACAGTGATGCCGCGATAGCCGAGTCTCTTCATGGTCTTGAGCATGTGTTCCGTGAGATTGTGGACAGTCTGTTCGTGTGCATCATGAGCAATGACAAGCCAAGACTTGATGTGTGGGTCACCGGCGTAAACCTGATGATCGAAGATATCCTTGGATCGCTGAATGAGGTCTGGACTGTCATTCTTGTAGTCATCAGTGTCAATATCGTACAAAACGATGTGGTATCCAAGCTTGCCCATTTCGTTTCCACAGTCTGTGTCAGGACTGCAGCTGGAATACGGAGGCCTCATGTAGGTAGGGAAACTGCCGATGATGTTTCGCAGAGCTGCTTCGTTCTTCTCCAGCTGCTCACGGCGCTGTGAGGGAGTGATCTTGCTGAGATCCTCGTGTGACCAGGTGTGACTGGCGATTTGATGGCCACTCGATTGCATGCGTTCGATCAGGGATGCCCAAGGCAAGCTGAAGTCATCGATTTGACCCTTGCCATTGTTGATGCCGGTGATGAAGAACGTCGCCTTTGCACCATACCGATCAAGCAAATCCAGCAGATCGCCGGTGTAACGGGTAGGGCCATCGTCGAAGGTCAACGCGACGGTTCCGGGAATAGAGCATGAGCGAATCTCCTTCGGGCCATATGGGACCTGGCCAATGTGAGGCCGCATGATGTCCGTGGTGGGAGGTCCGTAGGGTGACTTGTGAGCGTCACAATGGCCGTAGTCTATCTTGCAGTCTGGAGAACGACAGTGCGCCTTGGATGTGCCACAAAAGCCTATGTTCGCCCTGTCAACGACCCATTTCAATCTGCAGAGCTCTTGACACATACCTGCGCTGGAGCAGCATGTATCGATAGGGCATTTGCCAATCTTGGGACCGCAGCGGTAGTCAACATTGTTGGGAGCATCGCGAATGCTCACAGCTGCCTCAACTGCCTCTTGGACCTGGGACTCATCGAGAGGGACGGTGTAGGCTGGAGAATTGCCATAGAAGCTGGCAAATGCACAACCTGCCAGAGGCAGAAGGACCAAAATGTGAGCACGCATCTTGAGAGTAGGCAGTATAAGTTGATATTTATGTTCAACTGGGATGTGGGAAGTAAAGGTTGGGATGATACGAGAATTGAGAAGGGGAGAAGTGAACAGAAGTGTCTCCGAGGTTGGCGAGGTTGAATTACACGGGAGGAATGAGAGAGTTGGGATGAGCAATTGGGAAGCTGCGAGACACTTTCGGCAGTCGAGCCTACTTAAACACAAGAACAGATAGACTCAACAAATTGTATGCAGCTTTTCATATTCAATATCAACGTGGGTATCGTTAAGTCCATATCTGCCACTTTGGGATTTTTGGGTTGGCAGCACCCGGTGCAGGATATCCCGTTGGTGACCAAGAAGCATGTTACAAACATGAGGACACTGAGATCTACAGATGAATATGTAGATCTCACTAAAGGTATCAAGCCCGGGTAGGTCAGTGTCTGTTCCTCGGAGTTCTGCATTTGCTTCTGCATGGGGCAACCCTTTCAGAGTTCCTAGCACAGATCAGGTCATCAGAACCAGCAACTCAGTTTCCTTTAGAAATATCATCCTCTCCTACCGCGGAGAAGATAAAAGGAGCAAGAGTATCAAGATGAGGACCAAACTTGGCAGGAGCAGTCCTTGCAATGACGCCAATGGCAGCGATCAAATGCCGACGCTGCACCATGGAAATCTTAGACGAAGAAAGAGTCGCACTCAGATCAGACACGAAGCCATTGAGCTGACTGTCAGAAAAGTGAAGCACAAGAGCAGAGATAGCAGTCAGAGCACGCTTGGTGACAACAGTTCCCGCAGTATCGTTTTGAATAATAGCCATGACGGATGCCTGGAGGGCAACAAGCTCACTCTCCTGGAGTAGAGGACCAAAACATGTGACAACCTTGATGAGCACATCAATGGCATCGCTGCTGAAACCCTTGGACGGATCCTTCTCCATCATTCCCTTCACGATCGAGTCGCGCCGCCCTGAAGCTGATGGTGTCGGGCCGGTCAGCCGGGGAACCAGAACCTTTGAAACTGCGGAGTAGGCTGCGGTTGCATTTTGTGATGCAGGCTGGCCTGTCTGAGGATGAGGGAGAGTGTCGACAATGACGCGGAGAGCAGTGTTAGGGATGGAGGTGTCTATCGTCTGGGAAGCGGTCAAGTTGGCCAACTGCTCGAGCAGAGGCGTGAGGGATTCAAATGGGAGGCGGACGGCCAATGGGCCAAGACTGTTTCATTCTTGTTAGAAATCAGCAATATTAAAGTCGACCAAAGCCTAGCACGAACCATTTGAGCGCCTGGTTCTGCACGTCACCATGCTGATCATCCAGGGCTTTGAGCAGACCTTCGGCAAGCTTTGTTGATGTTCCGCGGTCATGTGAGAGGAAGGAAGAGTTTGGGTTTGTCAAGATGCCATATAGATCGTTCAAGGACATGTAGCGTAGGTCGGCGTCGGGATCGTCGAGCTTCGCCAGCAGGCTGAAGATGGTCTGCTGGGTGATTTGCCGGTCTGCCATTTTGACGACGCCTTTAGTAAGGTGTGATGTGGATTGAGAGAATGCAGAGAGCTGAATGAGAAGGTAATCGAAGAGAGCGCGTGTAGTTGGTAGCTTTTGATCGCCGCAACGTGGGGTGTTGTCGCCTGAGGTGTCCACACAGAGCTTATGGCCTGAGGCCACCAAAGCGGGTCAGGTACTGAACTCCCGAGGTATACTGGTGGGCTTCAACATCTTCACATTGCTAGTTTCGGGGGATATTCACTTTTATTCCAAGCCTTAAGCTCAGATTTGAAGATCATGCGGCCGTTGGCATTCAAATAACCTCAATTCCCCGAATGGAGATCCCAATTCCCCTAATCTGATGATCTGATAGCCAGCTATGGCCATTCTCCACATCTACAAAGATATCAAACTCCTTCGAATGGTAAAATACAACGATAAAAAAACGAAATAAACAACTAAGAGCTGCTACGTACCAATTACTACCAGCCACAGCTAAGTTCCCAGCATAACCCAAGTACCCAATACCGCCCAGCCCCTAACATTACATCACAGAGCACAGACCATCCCGGAAACAGGCAGGAAGCGATCTTACGATGATACCCCGTACTCTGTAGTCAGTTCACCTTTACCTCTACTCCCACCTATCACGCTTCCCATATTCTCTATCCATCCCACTCAATTCGTACCCGGGCTATACACAATCACAATGGTCTTCGCGCGCCGTTCAATCTTCCGCGCTGCGACTGTAGCCCAGTCCTTCCGTGCTGCTCCTGTTGCCCGTCGGTCTGCCCAGGCACTGGGTCGTCGGTTCAATTCTACCGGTGGAAGTCATGAGCAGGGCCATGCGTCAAGTGACTTGCCATGGTGAGTTTATATGTTGAATTGAATTGAATTGTTTGGGTTTATTTGGAGCTTGGGTTCTAATTGTTGTTCTTGTAGGTTGATCGGATCGGTTGCTGTTACTGGCCCCATGGTCTTTTACCTTTGGCCTTCTGGGTCTGAGGGACATGGACACCATGATGCTCATGGGGATGAGCATAAGGAGGAGCATAAGGAGGAGGAGGGTGAGAAGATAGAGGAGGCTGCTGAAGAGGCTCCTAAGGAGGAGGATAAGGCTACTCAGGGTGGTGAGGAGAAGAAGGAGGAGGGAAAGGGTGGTGAAGAGAAGGAGAGCGAGGAGAACCAAGAGTCTCAGGAAGAGAAGAAGGAGGAGTCCAAGGAAGAAAAGAAGCAAGACACCGACGATAAGAAGGAGGACAAGAAAGAGGACAAGAAAGAGGACAAGAAAGAGGACAAGAAGGAGGAGAAGGAAGAGAAGGAGGACAAGGACGAAAAGAAGGGCGAGGACAAGTCCTAAAGCCATCAACCTCAACCTGTCACACGACCAACTGCATCGAGCGCCCATTCTACTGTTTGATGTATTTCTCTACCTGTACATGTACTAGCTAAGAGATGTGAGATAAATATGATCATGCCAGCATATTACTTTTCAAAAGACTAAGTCTTTTGTCGGTCAATGGTGCTTGTTTACTAACTCAGGCTACCAATCTACCTAGGTAGAGACTTGCTACAGAAGGAGAGAAGAATAACTAGAATATTAACATCCCCAAAGGAGAATTATTTTAATTCATGTGCTCGTCAAAACAAGCGCCCGCGCCCGCTCTTCTATAGGGCTAATCTACCTGGCGGAAACGAGCTCAAAGCAATACATAACAGCATATCAACACATCCAGAGTAACATCCGGAAGCCCAACCAAAGTATAAAACATAACTATAACACGGTTGAAAAAAGCCTGCGTGGGAACTGGGGCAATGGCGCCCACTGGAACCATGAGGGGGTGGAGAGTGTGTGTGCACTCAGGCCTTGCGGCTTCGAGTGCGAGGACCACGCTGCTCGGCAACGGGCTCACCGTTAACGAGAACCTGAGGAGCGTGGTTCTCCTTGGCAGATTGATCAAAGCCAGTGGCGATAGCCTTCGTATCATTAGCATCGACCTCCTCCTCTTCCTCGTCTTCGTCATCGCTACGCTCGTCCTTGGCAACGCTGGTGAAGATATAGTTGGCCAGGATGCGGAGGATGAGGAAGAGCCAGAAGAGATTGACAGCCTGGAGACTGGCGAGCAGACCGAACGTGATATACTGACTAATCCAGCACTTGTACTGCTGAGTCTCCCAGTTCAATTCGAAAGGACCGACAGTGCGGAACTCGGTCAGGACAGCCCAGAGGATCTTCAGGTTCAGGAAGTGGCGCAGGTAGATCCACCAGCCGACGAACATGGCGAAGTAGGGCGGGGTGATGAATGCGTCAAGGTAGTTCAGTGTCTTGGAGGTTGCCAGGAAGAAATCGGAGATGTCGTGGGTGATGTAGACGGCAAGACCCATGTAGGTGAAGTGGAAGCGGTAGCTCAGGCCGATAAGCGCAAGCGTGATGATGTGGTGGCCGACCAGTTCCTTGAAGTCCTTGCGGGGCTTCTCGAGCTGCAAGAGCAGCACGATCGCCTGCTGGGCCCAGTAACTTGCCTCGAGGAGGTAGTAAGCTTTGAAGAAGCCCTCGTGCTCCCGGTGGGGGAATCCCTCGAACATGGCGGTCGTGTTGAAGTACCAGATGGTGGAGCGCTTCATCACGAACAGACCGAATGGTCCGAATACTCCGAAGTAGACGGCTGTGTACATCTGCTCCATGAACCGCGCGGTCTTTCCCTTTCCACGGATACCACACCAAACAGCGAACGGACGAATCATCTGCTGCATGATGAACTCGCGCGTGAAAGAGAGCACAATGGTGTAGAAGGCCACGAAAGCGATATCTTTCTTTCCCTTTCCGTACATGATCGGGCCACCGGGTGTCTTCGGGGGCTGCGGGTACGAGAGGAAGATAGCGCTGTGCATGGGGTTCGATGTGGTGGGATTGACGGCGTACAAGCCGAGCAGGAACAGCATAATGACCAGCGGCAAAAGCCAGGTGTATCGCAGACAGGTATCAGCGAAGCGGTGGAGGAGAGACCGGCTGCGACGGCGCTTGGGCTGTGCCTTGCCAGCAGATTTGTCTGCATTGCGAGCATCGAATTGCTGTCGGGGGAGTCAGTCTGCGTGATGCGCACGGGACCAGGTTTGGAACAACGTCGCGCGTACCTTTAGATCCGGGGATGTGGGTTCAATCGGGCTGACTTCATTCATTGTTGACATTGCTGGTGCGCTGGTGTCGCCTCTGATGTCCACGCCCAGGGCTGAGCTTCCCCGCGGGCGAACCATGATTGTAGTGTCTCGTATCCGGCTTTCGGATGAGGAAGTCGATGGGACTTGGGAATTCGAGCTCACGTGCTCGATGACGGAACCAAAAAGTGTGGGAAAAAAGAAGAAACGAAGAAAAGAACAAAAAGTCGAAACTCGAAACTCGAACACGTCGGAACGATCGGATAAGAAGGGAAGATCAAAGATCAACTTTTTCCCAGGGGCTGACTCCACCAACTGAGCTCGCGGGATTCCTTGGCATTTGTCTTTCCGCCTACACAAAAAACACAAAGTATTCCTCGCAAGAGTTTCTGTTCCCGTGATTGTAAACCTGTCTGCTTTGTATGTCCGAGACTGAGCACGAGACCACATGCCACTCGGAACATATCTTAGTACGTGTCTATGTCAGCATCTGTGCCAGTCTAAATTCAAGAGACTCTATGAATTATGTGTTTTAACGTTATGCAAATCTCAATTCTTGACAAATGACATCATATCGACCTCGGTAGTCCGCTTCAGGCTAGTGAAAGTTGATGTAGCCAGATTACTACCTAGAGGTAACCTAGACTCTAGCTATAGAAAATTATGCAAATTTAGTAGCATTTACTACTCGGAGCACTTTGCAGACTGTAGCAAGTTGGGCACATGTATTGATCTTTGGCAATTGAGTAAAAGCAAACAGAGTTAACAATCAGGGGTAACTTATTGATAATGCAATGACAACCTCAACAGACTTCTCAAGCAGAACGGAACAAAGAAAATGTATAGAATGATTCCCTTGGCAATGTTTTCGAAGTTTGCAGGGGGCCAAGATGATGTTGGTTTGGGGAATACAGGGGCCCTGCAAAACAAAGACTCGAAAGGAAGAACTATAGGGGCGGTAACAACACCATAAGATCCCACAGTGATTTCTTGGGAACAATATATCTGCCAGAAAAGTGTTCGGTGTATTTGGACATTGGTAATAAGCTTGGGCGATGAAAATACACCTACTCAAAGGTAAATAAGTCTGGTATAAAATTGTGGTTCTAGTTCCATATCATCTCACCAATAAATTTCGACGTTTTCAGGCCATTTGAATTACTTTTTACTGCTTTACGGAGTGAAGCCAGTCATTTTCAGGGTATATAGAGCCTTGTCTAATCTTATAATATATGATGTAAACAAGAACTGACCAAAGCAAGTGTCAGGCGCGAGATAATTTAAGTCTTCTCCATAGGAGATATTTTTCGAGCTAACTATAGCGAATAGCCATTCCATATACTACTAATAAGCCTATAAGAAAACTATATACAGGATGGTCTGGAAACTTAATCAGAGGATCATTGACCTATGGTGGCATCAATGCAAATTCTTGTGGGTGCTCCCACTGTTTTATCCCCATCAGACTAACTACCGTGAACGACGCCATATCGAATCCGCTGAGATGGCTCGCACAACAAATTCGACACGCTATCAAGACGTAGGTCAGGCCTACTCAACACGACGCCTACTATACCGCAGAGCGTACAGTTGGACACGGCCTGCCCATTGTCATCTTCGGTGATGTGACATGGCCTTCTCCAATCAAGCCATGGCTGGTCTATTTGACTTGGACTTTTCCTCGGTTGTTGAAGACCCCAAGGGTGACAATTTGCCGTGCAGGCCTTCTTACGTCCAAGAGAACCAGGGTACTATCAGGCCTAGGGATGGCTTCTTCGGTACTGGCCACGCATTAGTGGCATTCTTCTAGTCAGGCAGAGGTCCTGACATTATCCCCCTCCTTAGAGACCACGTCCCTAGGGTCTTGTAGTGGAAATTCGACAGAGATACCACAATACCTGCAGAAAAATGACATAGTTCTTTCGAAGCAACGACTTCAATTGATTGCCGAAGACATTTGGGAGGACCAGGAGATCTAGGGAGGGTCACTGTACCCGTCTGGTGTCCTCAGGCCACACTGTTGTCGGCATTACCTTGCGAATACTGCATGAAAACTGGGTCTATAGATGATCCGAATGGCTTCGGGTATATGATATATCAGAGGACCTTATGTGATGAGAAATTGCCCGATAAATAGCGAGAACTAGGGGTAATGAAATACAGAGTCATTGATATCTGAAACGAAACCAAGAGGTAAAATAAAGCGAATCTAAAGCAACTATGAGCCTAGGCAGTCTTAGGAACAACCTCAGCATGCAAGGCACCCCGCTTCTCACTGCTAGCCAACTTCTCCCCGAGAACCTCCACATCCCCAGACTCAGCAGCAACAGTGCGCTTAGTATCATGGGTCGTCTTCCAGGCAGGAGTACCAATGTAAGGAATACCATTGGGATCCTCAAAGATCTGCTCAGTCTCCTCAAGTGTCTTACCAGCAGTCTCAGGGAAAAGGAAGTAAACATGAAGCAGCATAACAAACAAGAAAACACCAAAGATGATGTAAGTCTGCCAGCGGATATTGGCAAACGCCGAAGGCACAAACAGACCCAACGCAGTGTTAAACGCCCAGTTGGCCGAGGTAGCCAACGCGACGGCCTTGCCACGCACGCGCAGAGGGTACAGCTCGGGAGGGTAGACCCACGAGACAGGACCCCAGGTTGGGGCGTAGGAGGCGACGAAGAGGTAAGTGCAGGCGATGAGACCTTTAGCAGGCGCGCCGGAGAGTCTCATCGACTCCTCGGCAACACCCTTGATACCACCCGGAACGACGACACCGTACTTGCCCATGATACCCGCGTTGGCGAACATCCAGATCATCATGAGCGTGGCACCGATGAGGAGGGTAGGGCGACGACCCCAGCGGTCAACCCAGATCAGGGCGGGGACGGTCATGACGACGTTGATGATGTACTGGATAGAGGAAGCGAGGAGGTTGGCATCGCCCTCATAGCCGGCCATGGAGAAGACGTAGGTGATGTAGTACATCATGACGTTCATGCCGGTGAGCTGGGACCAGATCTGGCACCAGACACCAGTCATGGTGCGGTGGATCATCTTGGGGCGGAAGAGTTCGAGGTAGGAGACGTCCTTGTTCTGGCGCTCGAATTCGCACAAGTCGCGGATTTCTTGCATCTCGGCGATGACGAAGGGGCTGTTGGCGTCGCCTTTGCCGTGGACTAAGGCTAGCACGGACTGGGCTTCTTCCCAGCGGTCGTGGCGGGCTAGCCAACGGGGGGATTCGGGGAGGATCATCATTCCGAAGAAGAGGAGGACGGCGGGGACCATCTGGACACCCCAGGGGATGCGGAAGACTTGTTCGCTGTAGTCCGTTGGGAGCTTGCCTCCGATATAGGAGCAACCGAAGGAGATGCTGAAGGGATAAGGGTTAGTATGATGTTCAGATTATTATGTCTGGGGAAGTAAGAAGGTCTAAAGGGTGGGATAGTCGCATCAAAGACGGAGGTACTTACTAGTACATGATGAGGATACCCCAGGTAATAGCCCACTGCTGAGAGCCGACGAGACGACCACGCTTAGAAGGAGGTGCGATCTCAGAGATATAGACGGGAACCTGAGCAGACTCGATACCGACACTGAGACCGTTGATGATACGACCAGCGATGAGCATACCCATGTTCTGGGACGCACAAATGATAATAGAGCCAATAACCCTACAGATTAAGATTGTTAGCAAAATAGACAAGGACACCGGGATAATGCCAGCACATACCAGATAATACAGCCAACCATAATAGAATACTTGCGACCCAGACGATCCGAAATGAAACCCGAGATCAAAGCACCAAGCCAAGAACCACCAGGCATAGCAGCAGTGACACCACCCTGCTCCAGCGAGCTTAGACCAGAGCAGTGCACGGAATCATTGAATGGGGGGCCGTTAGGTCCATGGTTGAAGTAACATTTATAGGCAGGAGTATCGATAATCGCCGACATGGACGAAATATCAAACCCGAAGAGCGCGCCGCCAATGACGGACACCGCCGCAATTACGTAGATATTCCCCACGACAAACATAGTGAATTTGATCCCAGAGGGGGCAGGGGAAAAGGGAAAAAGAAAGTCGATCAGGAGAGCTGGGAACGGAAGGGGGAGGGCTGGTTAAATAGGTGGAAAATTCTATAGCTGAGATGTCCGTAGCCCCGTCTAATCAAGGCATGCCATGCCATACACGGGATAATAGCGGGCAAAAGAGACAATCTATGCGGGACTTGAAATACAAAAGAAGATACATACACTTCGTACACAAGGCTGCCAAGACCCCGTTTGCAACCCCAGGCTTATGTAACTCCTTTAATTGGTCCGTCATCTCCCCGGCTACCCCACTTAGCTGGCTCTGATTGGCCAACCACCCGGCACCCTGATGGGATCCGGGGAATCGGCCACGAGGGTGACACTACTAGGCCCAACCTAGTCAAGCGCTGTATTTCTAGCCCTGAACCCGGCTTCAGGCCGGGTTCGGGTGGACAGAAAAAGGCCGGCTGACTCCCTGCACTCGGGACGGCAGTGGCGTTTCTCGGCAGACACTTGAGAAAGAGAGTTCAAAATGGCACTTGGTTGTCTATAAAACATGTAAACAAGAAAATAAGGTAAATGTGGTTCCTGTACATCAAAAAAAAGGGGGTCCATGAACAAGTTTTCTCCGTCCCCAGATTAACCCACAAAACACGTATGGAATGCGTCTCGGCTCTGTATATCCCGAACCCTGACAGTGTTAAAACGTAATTTTGCCTAGCCGGCTGCAACATTCTCACAATTACCCGGAGAAACCCACTTAGCTGTAGATGCACAAATCCATTGGGGGAGGAGTCCCGAGCACATACTAGTCTGGGGCCCCGACTACGGCTATTTTCCCAGAACGGGAACCCAGCACGGCATCCTACGGCCTCGTTGGCTGACGCCGATGTGGGTTCGGACACGACTCGGGCCTTTTCAGTGTATGTTCTGGTGGGACGGCGTGGGCCGATGTCTGTTTATTTCCTTTTCCCATCTCTTTTTTCCATTGAACTTTGCCGGTCTCTGCGATCCGCTGAAAAGTTAAATTGAAAATGTTTCAGGCTTCGGCTTTGTACTTGTAACTGGTT